ATGAATACAACCTTTCTGAAAGAAGTGCCTTTTATAATCAAAAAACAGATATCTAGTTGTATGCTTTGTCTTGACTGTGAAAATCTTTTTGTTTCTTTTTTTCCAGTTATCCGCCCTCCCACTGCATTCACTGCCCAGAACAAACTGCTGGGTGCAATGCTGCTGCTACACAGAGACACCTCAGATCGACGGGCTGCAGAAACCAGCAGTGACGCTGAGCTCACCTGACATGATGGTGTCTGTGATGTTGAGGTTATTGAGGGACAGCCCCAAGGACTGACGTGAGGAGGATGAGGAGGTGCTCGAGGTCTCAGAGGGTGGCCGGGCTGTCTTCACGGGTGTGGCTGTCGGTGTTGCGTTACCGCTGGACTTCAGACGATCATTTTCTGCTTTCAGCATCTCAATCTCATTCTGTGTGTTGCAAATAAAGAAAATCATAGCAAATCTAACAGAAACTGCTTTTAAAGACACTGACTGACAGGCTCCTCCAACAGCAGATGGTCATTTCCTGCATTGTTGTTATTCTGAATCAGTATCACTGGAATTATAGGCTGTAGGCAGCTTTTTGATCTTCGAGCCTTCTTTGTACTGAAGATTAAGTCTCAGATAAGGAATTGGACGTGATCCCCATCTGACAGGAAAACTATACGCAGCCCACATTCACAAGCATCCACTTAGCTGAGACATCCAGAGTGACACAGGATATTCTTTAATATGTGTTCCTTTGAAAATTTGAAAGTCACAGCATCTGTGTACACTATGCTTTGAAAGGATGATTTCATTACACTGCATCAGGAGTACTGGAATAAATAATGGGAGTTTGTTTTCATGGAGAAACTCCCCATTTTAAAAATTCAGCTTCATGGAAAAGTAAACAATTGAATTCCACCTTCATGAGGTGTTTTCCCCTCGAGAATCTTTATCAACAGATATTTGATAGGAGTCTGTTTGCAGTACGTTAGAGGCTATGCTGGGTTGCAGGTAAAGATTAGTGGAAAGCAGAAGAGAAATGCTTTGGCTCACCGACAAACTCAAAATCATCGACTATCATCTGAGAGCTATTTAGCTTTTATCAGCTTTTTACTTTATCTGCATTCATAGCTGGACAGCGAACAACGACCGGTGGAACAGGAAGTCTTGGCCTGGATATCAGTTATTAATCATCAGAGAACCGAGGATGGCTTTCCAGACTGCTTAAAAATAGAATGACTGTTCTTTTATAAAGTGCCTGTTTGGAGGCTGCTGGAAGTTTTTGCATTTCCCAAAGTTTATATCCTAATAGGACTTGAAGTAAAGTTGGACTTTTCTGATTTAAGCTTACCTTCTTTCTTGCATAGCATTAGATGAAAACAACTAGTACTACAATCAAGTACCAATAGCAGTTTTCTGTTGCAGGTAGTGGAGGGTAAGTCATGCCGAGGATTTCTCAGTGTTGTTTACCTTGATGCAGATGTCTGGAACGTGTGCTCCTCACAAACTAGAGTGAGATTTTGCAATCTGCATCTAATTTCAACTCACCACGCTCATTGCTGTTTGCACTATTCCTCCCTCCAACATTTTAACACTTGTCTGCTGACCAAATAACAGATTATGCTTTAACAGCAAGACATGTTTGGTTTGCATTGGCAGGAAGTTAACACACCTCTCACCTCTCGCTGGAAGAAAATCAATTAACAGCAATATGTGCTCATTTTAATGTCAGTGTGTGCCCATCTCCAGTGGCTCCCTGTGGCCACTTTACTTTTTTTAATTCTCCTGAACTTTAACAGCAGTTAAAGCAGATTTCATCAGATTTCAATTATTTAAAAAAAAGTATTTAGCAATTGAAGGAAAAAACAGGTTGACTG